CATACTTCGTWGAGTCGATTTCACTTCTGCTGGACTTGCATAGGGAAAAATTTTACGATGTTTTTGGATGCCTTTGCTGAGCTGTCAAAAAATTATGCTGTAGAAGAAACTAAGCCTTCTATGACAGTTAGCAAACACACCCAAAGCTACAGTCAACAAGTTACCAACTACAGCATTGGAAACGTTGAAGAACTGTACCCCACCTATACCCCATGATACATAGTTTTCTTCGTGTATTGTGCACACTTTCTGTGAAAACTGCGAGCATGGCTGAAAACGAACATGCTTCAAGATAGATTGATTGTTCGACACGCATCATGACATTGAAGTCATTGCAGAGGAAGTTCTTGAAAAATTCTCAAAAATTAGACCACAATCTTTTGTTTTGTGAAACTTTTACATTCAGTACATGGACTGACTACAGTATGATACATTGCAAGAAAGTATGTCACACGCACGTCTTAATTTTATATGGAATATTTCAATTTAGTAGGATTTGATATTAGAAGGACGATTTGAAATTTGATATTTAATAAATATAATAATCAAGTAAATGTTTATTTAACTGCAACCTACCCCAAAAAAAATATTTCTGGATCCGCTCCTACTTCTAACATTACAGGGTATACAAAGTTTGTATATTCTTCAGTTTGCATGGCAGCTATATGCCATAGTTGTCCGACAACGTCGGTTCCAACATATGAACCATTCTTTGGAGTGAAAGGAAAATATAAAATTCAAAATTTCAGCTCGACATTTCACAAACCTAGTTCTCAATTTTCGCCAAAAAAATTATTCTAGTAATAAACGAAATTTTTGTTTCCTTTTTTTCTCACTTCAAACAGAATTTTCTTTTGCGCTTTCAAGAAAATTATTCGCCATTGCCTATTTGCTATATGCTGCCAACTATTTCATCTGTATTTCTTTCATTTACGGTTTCTAGTGAAGATTCAATCGGTTATTGGCAAATTTCAATATCACACTTCACTTGTCAGATAATTTTCGCATTTGATTATAGCTCTGTGCAAAAGCGCTAAAAGCAACACATCTTGCTGGCGAGGCGCTGCAGTTGGGCTTTAWTGCTAGCCTGCAAGCCAGGTAAAAAATAAATGAGAGTTAGAAAAAATGTTAGCAATTTAAAGGCTTTTGCACCACTGATAGAGAATCCTTTTTTTTATAGAAGGAAAGCTGTAATAACACAAATAGCACTCATAGATGGGTTTACATACCGAAATGAAAAAATTTGAACGTTTAAGAACCGAATTTCGTTGCAATCATAGGTCGCTTTTGAATTATCATGCATACGAAACAATTTCCGAAGTTCTCGGACGTGTTTTATTAAGACAACGATGAAACGTGACGTTTTAACGCATCAAAGGACAGCGCCCTTCTTGCAGTGGAAGGCTTATGTAGGCGGATCTTTTGTTCAATAAATATGCTTAAATAGCGTCCAGGCTGGACTAATCAAGAAGTGTGTGATTTCATTAGCAGTAGCATCAAGCTACTTCCGGAATCGCCGAAATGCCGATGAACTTGACAGAAAAGCCACCATAACCATATTTCATCAGAATAGGAACGAGCAGGCTTTCCCTTGTTTTCATACATTCAGACGCTGAATCTATAGGTTAGAGGCTAACGATTTTAGAGGACGCAACTTGTCAAAGTTGGAATGAGTAAGATGAAGTTGGAACATCTATACACTTTCTTGTCCATAGTTCAGATTTTTTCAGATTGAGGTTGAAGCATTTCGGTTGCCATACTTTTTACGAATCCGAAAAATTGACTGGAATTGTTATTAGCCACCTAAATAAATTTGTGGGAGGCTCGTATATGTGACGGTCTTTTAGATCCATAAAGTTTCTTGGCATAATCAATAGCGTTATGAACATCGTTCTGAGGATCGTAAACTAATAGAMGATATCGATTAACTTAGGGTAAATGCTGATAAGATGGATATGGTACTTTTTACAAGGAGGGTSAAAATTCCGAGACTTAGCGGGATTTATTTAATAATTAAGGAGCATACGAAATATCTGGTGCCTCGTGGTAGTTTTGGATAGCTAACTTATTTGGAAACTCGATATGGAGGAGACAATGAAAAGGCCAGTGGTGCACCCTAAGCAKGCGGTAAGATGCTAGGGTCTATTTGTGGCCTTACACCTGGTTSAGGTATTAATGTTATACAGCAGTAGTCTTGCCTTGCGGAGCTTTGGTGCGATGGATCGTTGTTATCACAATTTCATACAGAAAACCATTGAAGGAGATAAAGAAGATACAGTGACGCTCTGCATAAATGGAGCGCTAAGAACAACTCCAACGCAATGATATACATAGCACAAAAAGCAGGAAGAAAATAGACCACATACCTTCATGCTTTGTTTGGGCGCAGGATCATGCGACTTACCTGTGGAACTTACATCTACACAGACGCATCAAAAAAGGCTAATAGAGTAGGAGTCGGAATCTTTTGCTTGGAGCTGGAACATCSSATWTAGCATCCCAAGTACAGAAGTCTCTTCCCGGCGGAAGTCTTTGCGGTAATGAAAACGCAAACAACATAAAGATGATCAATAAAAACGCAGAGAAGATTCTAAGATATACTAAAGAAAGGTGAGTTGCATAGGAGCATGGGACTCTSCAGCGGAATATACAACATCTACCCAGAGGAACCAAAAACGCCTAATAGAGTGGRGCCGGAATCTGTTACTCGGAGCTGGGTATCAGGCGACTATGCAAGTTTCCGGAATACTGCAAAAACGATCAATATATACGACGGTATTCAGGTGGCAATTTAGGCAATAATATCACACTGCTTCACATGASAGAAAGCCCTTAGAAGCAAAGAAGATGATTTACCGGTTACATATAAACTTGGTTGTAGGGRTTGCCCTAAGTGTCATTCGTCTGGCCATCGAATCAATAGAGGAAAAACGGTAGACACTGAAACCGACAAAAATGAAATTTCCGATAGGGTTGAAACATGGATTACGGCGAGATGGAGTGCCTTAAGAACATTCAGGATCTCCAAGAACATGTGCAAGAGCCTTAAAGAAAAAACCCTTCTCGCTCTTGTGGTATTTCTCTTCCATTTCATCATGGAAAGATATACAAACCAACAACAAGTCAAAATTATTAAAATTTACTATAAAAATTTGGATTCAGTGGTCTCAACTTTAAGAGCGCTACGCCAATTTATGGTCGTCATAATCGTCCTGTCAGATCAACAATTGAGTGTCTAGCGCATCAATTGAGGAAGGCCCAAGTCAGTCTCTCACACGTCGTTCTCAAGCGGTAGGCATCACTGTGATGTCGTTGTGGCGCATTTTGCGAAAAGATCTTGGCCTACATCCTTACAAGATCAAATTGACGTAAGAACGGAAGCCGCTTGACCACCACAGTCGTCGTATGTTCGTGAATTGGGCCGAGTAGCAATTTGAAAATGATCCAGATTTTCATCGACAAATCATCTTCAGCGATGAAGCTCATTTCTCGCTGAATAGCTTCGTTAATAAACCAAATGTGCATTATTGGTCAGGCAGTAATCCACACATACTCTAGGAGTCACCATTGTATCCTGAAAAAATTACGGTTGATGCGCTTTATGGGGCGGTGGCGTCATTGGGCCGTACTTCTTCCGCGATGATCAAGACCGGCACGTGTAAAAGGGAATCACTAAGGCTATATGCTAATCGAATATTTTTCGCCTGAATTGGATGATATGGACTCGGACAATATGTGGTTTCAACAAACCGACGTCACAAGCCGAATGTCACAATCGATTTGTTGAAAACCAAGTTCGTTGAACGTGTTATCGTGCGATTTGACGCCGTTGGACTATTTCATGTAGTGTTACGTCAAGTCTATGGTCCATGCCAATAAGCCAGCGACGATTGATGAACTTCGTACGAATACCGAACATGAAATTGCAGCAGTATCGGCCGATTTATTTATTTTGAAAACTGTCGAAAATTGTTTTCAGCGTCTGGACTGCTGCAAGCGTCAAGTCGAGTTCCACGGATGTACTTTCACAGGAATAAATAATTTCAGTATTTATTATTGAAAAAGCTTGTGTAGCAKTCTTACTGAAAAACCCGTTAGTTCCTTGTCTTTTCTATAGTGCTATTGCACTTAAATTTTTCAATAATTACATTTTAGTATAAATTTCGCGTGAATCCACTGAAAGCGTTTTCACGCAAATTGCAACTTTTTTTAATTTTTAACATAAATAAATAACACTGCGTGATACATTTCGAAACAGTAGCAAAAATAATATTTTAGCGCTGCCAACGAATATCAAATAAATGCGTTAATTACACCGRCAAAAGTGGGGTTCCACAGAGTGTTATTTCGATAATATGTAGTGTATATTTTGTATCGATTTCGTTGMAACATTTTCATATTTAAATGCGTCATTATTATGAATTTAAAATTGCAACGCCTGCGGATATGCTATGACATTTRGCATTCTTATTTTTCGTTCGGAATTTTGATTTTGTTGATTTTTCAATACGATTACATTGTAAAATGAAATGAAAAATTCTGATTTTACGCGCTTGCAGGCAGATTTTTCATATTAAATATACGATATTGGCATGCGTCCGTGTGTTGCTGCAAATGCATTGTTCAATTTTGTGTGAATTTTCGATTGTTTTATCACAAAATACCTGTCAAGTGTGTGTTTAATAAAGCAAGGAAAAAAGGGTTTTACATAAATTTCAAATTATTTGCATTCCCGCATAGCAGCAGCGTATAACAATGTCGGTGCATATTTAAGGACGACAGTTGCTTACTGCATTTAAGCGCCTAAAAGTAGACTGCTGCATTTGCCTAAAACTAGCATTTATCAAACGAATTGTACTTAGCAACTCGCCTATTTAATACTCTAAAGCTATGCCAACACTTAGCTTAATCTCAATTATCTCTACATGGCTTAMAAAGCTAGAAAAACACATACAAACATACTACACTTGCGCACACTTTTGTCGTCCAAAACTTTGTAAGCACCTCTCGCACTATGTATAAATAAATAATGTAAAAGTTTTGATTTAATTACGTTGACTTTGCAACTGCACTGCTAATGGACGGCCATTGCCGTTTGATGACGGCGAAGTGGGTCATTTGGTATGTGTTGGTTTGATGGCAGCGTCGCTCCACAAAACCGGTCAAACAGTAGCCCATATTGTAGTCTTCCATCGAGATATTCGAAGTCAGATACAGTTTGAATTCGTCAATTTCCGGCTCTTTACCGCTAGCCGCGCCATCACCATGAACGCCACCACCATCACCATCATCTACACAGTCCATACAAGTGCGGCCGCCCAACGGACTGCCGCCAGTCAACGCTTTTTTGCTGCGAAAATGTCCGGCGATGAGTAGTGAACCCTTCTGTTCGAGCGGCATCATTTTAGCTTTGGTCGATTGCCGTTGTGTGCCGGTAAACTCTTCGATGCGRCAGCGATTCGGTTGCCACCAACAAGGTGTGATGGTCCAGTAACTGGAGGAGGCCGTGCGCGCCCAACCCTCTTCCGGATAGAGCAGTATCTGCAAGAAAACAAATGCAAACCAAATGAGTATTGTAAGTATAGTACAAAAAGCAGCSTAGTGCTAAAATCAAAGGCAAGGTATAAAAAGTGAGAAAGGAGTAAAATGCGAAGCGAAATAGTTCAGCACCGACGCTATGCTGCGCTTCAAGCGCGCACGTAATTGGTAATGCTGTCACAATTGCAAACTTTACGGTTCCCGCAAACGCAAAGTTTTATCGATTTCTTAGTGGGATCGCATAAAGCAGCGTGCCTTTGCCTTCTGAAGTACTTTGTTGTTGGGCAAGAAAGGCGGTGGCAAAAGTTTATTTTGAGGAAATTGCCATTGGTGTTTAATTGAAAATCGAAATTAAAATTTTCGTATAAAAGACAAATGTCACGTTCTTCAGTTTTCCTCTACTTTGGTTTCGTTCTGATATTGCAATCGTTTTTGCGCATAATTGTTCGCCCTTTTCGCTGACAGCAACGCTGGCATTTAATAAAATGTAAATTCTTGATGGAAATTCTTACGCATTTGAGAATAATGTATAAAAAGTGAGAAGAATGTGAAGAAATTATGAAGAATGTGACTAACAAATTCAAATCGAGTTTAGCAGCCTWTGGAAGTGATGGGAAATACTTACACAAAAGTAAAAATTTAGACTCTATTCTTGTAATCTAGTTTTCGTTACATGTCTTCTTGTCACCCTTCTCAGAAAATGGTAATTGAAATAATAACTGTATTCGATCAAGCGTTTTCGCAAAGCTTTCGTCAGAGAAAACTGCTAAAAATTTCCGAAGCATATTTTTTTCGTTTGTGATTGGCTGAGAGTTTTTGTTGGTACGAAGTCTAACTAACGATTGCAATATATAGTATAGTAAGACTTGATCTACTTTGTTCGTGTAAAAGTATAAAAGCTCTTCGAAACAAGTGAAAGTTCAAAAGAACGAGTGTGAAATTTGAGCTTTCATTTGTGTTGAAGAGCTTTTATGCTTTTATATAAACAATATAGCCTAGGTATAAGGACAAGATTTAGCCACGTCTGTATTGATGACAGTAATGGTTTGGGTTCGCYGGCAAAATCTTGAATCAATATAGGCCTTTACTTTGAAATGCTTTAGTCGTAGTCTACAAAAGTAACGAAATCAGAGTTTGTTTTAATGAGCCTTGTACTCGCAATAAAGAATTGCGGATAAGTGTTTTTAAAATGTTATTTATATTTTCTATAACGCGGTATCCAAGTAGAGGTACTTTTTCCAATAGCCTTTTTTGACAGATTACGCTTGATTCTTGTCAAGCTGTCATGTTGTTTTTTTCAGTATTGTTTGGCATTGTATCTTGGCACTTACAAATCGTTCARGTTCTGTAAAGATTGTTTTTCTCACGCTTCGCTCAACTTATGGTCAACCTAATTGGYCTACTGAGCGTACCACTCATAAAACTATCACCCATCTTGAGACCCAACATTCATTATTGAATAATATTCGACTGAGGACGCCTTAAGTTTCTGATTCATTAACACAAGTTGAAACTAATTAACAAAAGGTTTTATCTGGCCAGCTTCCGAAACATTGTCAAAAAACCCTTAACCGATAGTTGTGATTATTTTCCTATACAAAGCTTGACATTTGCATAGAATATTCTCTATAGACCTTTCTTCTTCTACGTCTTAACAACTTCTACAATAGTTGTTGTATGAAGAACCTGSTAACGCCCACTAGACATTGATCTTCGAAAGGCGATTCTGGTATGTAATTTTGCTAAAAAGACACTACCTCGTACATCACTTGATCTGGTTGGGACCCATCTGTATTTGTGCTTATCTTTCTTTCCCTGACTACCTTTTTCTCACTCGATTTCGCAAATTAGTGGTCTTGGGTAGAAACGGGTACTTACTAAGTATCATAGATTGGCCCTTATTACAGGAGACTTTGCTGCCAGTTGCCTATAAAATAATTCGGCTTTTTGCCTAATGTGGCATTGTTCCTAGAGCTCCACTGATAAATATAATGACTGATTTTTGTATGGTTTCCATATCTCTTTCTTTGGAGAGGAATGAGGAAAAACTAATTTATCTGAAATTCCTCGAACTTGTATGAGAGGTTTGACCCGCTTTTGGTATACTTGTATGTGGTATATTACCCTGACTTTCCTTACCACCTCTCATCAGTATGGAAACATCTAAATCAAACTGCCTCCGTTCCATAAAATATGGTTGCACCGATAACATTCTTTACTTCACAATTAAAAAATATTTTTAATCAACATGTGTATATGTACAGTGACTTGCAAGATTAATCACGGTATCAATGTGTACCTTGGGCAATAATTCACTCAAAGAGGCGATTACACCTCAGACCAATTTTTTTAATATACTCCACAGCCGTTCGAGGGATCCAGAGATTGTAGAGGCCCATCTGGCGTTCTAAAAATAGATATTTTCGTGCCCATCTGTTCCTCAACGATTTATTTTGGTTTCGTCCGCCCACACCATCTGCTTTCAGTCATGCAAAAGTTGGCTGCAACTTCCCGTGTCTCCCAGTAARTAAAGGTTTTTTAACCTTTGAGCAACCTTTTAGACCTGCATTTCGTAATACTCTGCAAATTATCTCTGCCGAAACTTTTAAATAACTTCTTTTTTTTACAGACCTTTGCGCATTTTCGCATTCGCCACTTCTTATGCTCCTAATAGCGTTCCATTCCTGAACTGAGCTAAGAATTCTTTTACGGCCTGCTTWATTTTTTATGGACAAATCTGATCCGATTTATTTTTGACTGCATATGTAAGTGTGAATGAAAAAAAAAAAAAATGGATATGCTTCTGGAACGTGACCAATTTTGTGATCCACTGTATATTTTATGTCTATATATTTGAACAAATGCTTAATACAACAGAATTTTATTTTGTATGTGAGTATGAGTTCCTGCCTATTTGTGGGCGATAATTTACTCCCCAGTCAGACTTCAGAGTAAATCTTCCAACCCTGCCGCTGTTGTTGTTGTATTGGCTATTTTAAAATTGATTGTTTGCACAACTGTGCGAAAATTAAGTTTCCAGATTGCAAGTTAAATTATTCGGTCAGTATGGAACATTTTCATARATTAAACGTTCAAATTCAAACGTTSAATYGTGGAGTAAACATTGACTTCAGTTMTACRGAAACTATGGTATAAGGCTCCCTTTCAAGGAATGTGATCGGCCCGGTAGTAAGTCTCGGATAATAATCCATACCAAATGTTTTTAAAATATTTCGTCAAATGAAAAAGCTTTGCACAAAGCTCTTGAATCYGRTCGTTTAGTTTATATGACAACTATATGCTGTAGTGATACGAAATTGATGGTCCCAAAAAATTTTAGATCGGTATCTCAGAAACTGARAGACTAGTTAGTACCATATATACAGGYGGACATGGCTAGATCGACTCAGCTCGTCMYGCTGTCCATTTATAAATGAACGGTGATCCATTTCGTGGTTATCTCTTATTTTAAAGAAAAAACACAGAAAYTTMAAATTTAATGGGGAACAGTTATTATCATTCGAAAGAACAGTCTTTGCCGTTTACTCTCTGCAGATTATCTCTTTAAAATTTTAGCTGCGGCTACGCCTCACATAATCCATCCGTTAAGTTCAATTTTCGATGACTCGTTCGACATTTCGGCTGTTAACTGGCGAAGGACAGCCGTGATGATTTGTTCCAAGGCCTGAATCGAAACGGGATTGTCCGCATGGACTTAAGATATCCCCCTGAAAAAAGTCTAACAGTGTGATATCACACGATCTGGGTGGCCAACTGASCGTTYCAAAACGWGAAACTATCTGCTCAGCGAAGTGTTCTCTCAATATATTTTGAAATTTTTGTAGAGTCCAAATATAATAGAATTTAATTTTATTCAAATCTTATTATAATGAATATAGTTTGTTCGATTCTCTACTCTCAAACGTTTGGCGAACGTAGACAACTTATTTTTCATACAAACTTTTATTTGCCCATGATATCACACATTCTCCTAATTCTGACTGGGTTCTTTCCATTACATACATACAATTACAAAACCAATAACAATAATTATCCCATACAATTAAAATAAAGGCAATAACAACAATCCATCCGAGCACAATTGGTTTTCCACGCTTTTGCGGGTTTTGCGGTAAAGAATGCCATTTAATTGTTGCTTTTGTTTTAATTGGAATGCATGTGGAGCATTTTCAGGCTATTGTTCTTATATTTGTATTGTGTATATGAATTTGTGTATTCATGTGGTAGAAATAATTAACATAAAATTTATTGGTCCAATTAAATATATTTCTCCAACAAGTTAGGATGATGGGGTGTCATTGATTCTTCTAAGTACACCATTAATGCTAAACGGATGACATTGTCGTTATAGCAATATCGATACCATTCAAACAGGACTCATCCTAGCAAAAAAGATAGTGCGTAAACGTTGAACTTAACATAAGTTTATCAAAATTGGCCATCATTCCTTTAACAAGAAGACGATTTTTTCAATCTTTGAGAATTGTTCATACTCCAAGGGTTGGAAGTGGCTAGGTTTGACGAAATTAAATATCCAGCGTTAGTACTAGATTCAAAACATAGGTGAGAAAGCATGTGGACTCAATGATTGCGAAAGCAAACTGAGTGTTAATGGTGTGCAAACTCCTAGCTGCCCCTAGCTGGAACTGCAAACCAAATATACTACGCTGGATGTCCATGATAGTCAGACGAATGATTTCATATAGAGGGGATCATCTGTGTCAAGAGTTTCACTTACAATTGTTGAGGAAGAGCTGATGAAAGTTCGGCAWACGTGAGCACTAAAGGTAATTCCGCTCCGCATCGTTGTGGAGATGACAGCTAATTTTAGCCTTGCTGTCTTCTGGGCATGGTAACAACAGGTTAGTAGGCGCTCAGAAATAGAGTGTCATTGGAGAAAGTCTACTGTTGGCACTCTTTCCCGGAGACGACATTACCAAGCCAATTTATTTTGAAAAATGTTTCAAAGTCTCACTGGAAAG